AGTTGGAAACCGTTTGGACATTTCCAGGAGAGTTGTGATGCTGTTTGAGCTTGACACAATTGAAATCTGAAACTTTCTTTACACCCCTGCGTTCCTCCTTTTGTGTATTTATTGTTTATTAGATTCAAGCTCACCTGGTTAAGGATGGGCCCTGACCTGGGTCTCCCTGGGGGCAGTCCAACACCTTAACCGCTACACCAAACAGGCCCTCCTTTCCATAGAAAACTAATTTAAATTGGCTGAGAAACTCATCGTTCTGGCTACGAAGAGATTGAGGGAGCCATAGTCACACCCAGGAAGCGCAGCGTGGATCGCAGAACTGTCAACCCTCTCAGGGTCTCTTTCTTTCGCCCCCCCCCGCTCCCCGCAAACGGCTTCTGGCTGTTACAGCTACAAAGTTTGTAGACAGACAGCTTGGGCAGCGTTTGGCAAAATCTCAGTTGCTGGGGAACAAGCGATGTAGATACTCATCTGGCGGGCTGTGTTGCTCTTTGCCTTTCCTCAGTAATCTTCTGGGGTCGGATAAGCCGGTTGGCACCCTTGCCGAGTCTGGCTTATCCCTTTTGATTCTGCACCAGCCCAGAGCCCCCCAGCCCTCTTCTGGGCTGAGCACTCTTGGGCAGGACAAGACGGTCGCCTCTCCTGCTTTGGGGAGGTGTCCTTGGGGAACGCCTTGGCTCTGCAGAGGCCAAGGAAGCTTGCGGGCAGCCAGAGCCTCTGGGGTGCTCTGGGAGACGTGACAAGGACGTGCTGCGGTGGGGCTGCAGGGCCCCTCAGGAGTCCCTGACTTGGGCAGCCTCTGAAGGTGGCCCCAACTGGTATTTCAGGGACCCTCTTTTCTTCCTCCTCAGGACATTGGTGCAGGCAAAGGAAAATATTACGCCGTCAACTACCCTCTCCGGGACGGGATCGATGACGAGTCTTATGAAGCCATTTTCAAGCCGGTAAATTTCCTTGTCCTTGGATGCTCCTTGTTCACTTGCCCGGTGCTGCAGTTGCATCTCCAAGCTTTGCAGCCCTGCTGATTATGGAGACAGTTCTAACTTCTGGCAAGGGCGATAAGAAGATCCTTGGGGTCTTTTCCAACCTAGAGGAGCGGGGAGGGAGTGGGAGAGCCGCTGAGCTTCCAGGGATGGAAGAGCAGGCTTCCGGCTACCTGTTCAGCACCGAAGAAGCCCTTGGTCTCCTTCAGGTTCCGCAATGTGGACTTGGTGGGAGGAGGCGGGCGGCTTGCCCCTGATCTTCATGGAAGCACAATGTGAGATTGGAGCCACGGGTGGCGTCTGCCAGGGAATAGGCCTCGTTGAAGGCAGCGGGGCTTGCTTTTCCATCTCTGTGCCAGAGGTGGTGCTGAAAGAGAAGGGCTCCTGACAGTGGCCCTTCTGGGTTCTGCACCAGCGTTCCCCTGCTCAGGTGTTCGTTTTTATTGTCCAGGTGATGTCTAAAGTGATGGAGACATTCCAGCCAAGTGCCGTTGCTCTGCAGTGTGGCTCAGATTCCTTATCAGGGGACAGGTTGGGTTGTTTTAATCTGACCATTAAAGGTAAGAGGGGTTTCTCGCAAGTGGGTGGGTGGTGACTTATTCAGGGCCTCCCCAGGATGCTTTGCCGGTCCAAGGCTGCTGCGTGTCATCTGAGGGGCCCCTCAATGTTTCATAGGATTGTAGGGGCATCTTTTAGGCTTGGGTGCTTGAGTTTCATGGCACAATGAGCCATTTGGGCTTCTCTTTAATGGAAGATGCTCTGAAATGCGTCTCTTCCCATTGTTTCTTGGCTTACTTGGGTTGTCTTGTCCCTTCGTAATTTTGCTAATTTATTGCTAAATGAATTGCTAAAGCTCTCTTCCAGCAGACTGATGCTCTTTCTCCCCCCAGGTCATGCCAAGTGTGTGGAGTTCATCAAAAGCTTTAATTTACCTATGCTGATGCTGGGAGGGGGTGGCTACACGATCCGTAATGTGGCCCGGTGTTGGACCTATGAGACGGCTGTGGCATTGAACACAGAGATCCCGAATGGTATGGGGGACCCCTTCCATCTCACCTGGGGAGTGAGGGGGCATGGACAGGTTGTCAGGGAGTCCCAACAGCAAGGTGAATGAGGGCAGGTGCTGAGTTGCCAGAGAGAGATGCCTGAAAACCTGAAAACCAGCCCCAGGACTAAGGGTGGGTCTCTGCTGGGGATCAGAGTGATCTGAGGCCCCCAAATGGATCCTGGAAGATGGGTTTAAGGCTTGCTGTGCATCAGTCTTGATGCTAAGGGAACTGTGGTCCTGCTTAAGAAATGCCTGGTAATTGCCAGTGGACACTATTTTAGGTTTATTTGTTAATTTTGCAGGAGCCCAAAATGCCTCTTGTGCATTCTCCTCCAGTTTTCTCGCAGCAGCAGTCCTTTTGGGTGGGCTGGGCTGAGCAAGAGGGCCAGTCCCTTAGGGAGCTTTCATGATCACGTGGGGGTTAGATTTTGCACTTTCTTCTGAACCCGCCTCAACCCCATTTTGAGACCGTAGATACCCTCTTTGTGGCTTTCCTCTGTGTTCCTTTGAATTGCCTTGATGCAGGTGCAACGCCCTAACGTTCTGCATGCCTTTCACCCTTTCGCAGAGCTTCCTTACAATGATTATTTTGAATACTTCGGCCCAGACTTTAAGCTCCACATCAGCCCTTCCAACATGACCAACCAAAACACCAATGAATACCTGGAGAAGATAAAGTAAGTCCTTGCATTTGTTGGGGCGGGGGGAAAGGCTTCTGCTGAAGGGCTTCTGCCTGACTTCTGATGACTCGGCTGCAGGCAGCGCCTCTTTGAGAACCTACGGATGCTCCCGCATGCCCCTGGAGTGCAGATGCAGCCGATTCCGGAGGACGCTGTGCCCGAGGAGAGTGGCGACGAAGATGAGGAAGACCCCGACAAACGGATTTCCAGTGAGTGCCAAGCCCACGGGGAATTGCCAGCGGCAGGGGCCCTCTCTTCCAGCTTCTCTAATAAGCGCTGAATATTGTTTATTCTTTTCTTCCGTCAGCTCTCTTTTTAATCTTTCTCTACTCCATCTGTGTTTGAATGTATTTTTGTCTTGGGGGAAGAGGTTTGAAAACTGTGGGGTGTTCTTATACTTACCTTCTAGGCCAGTGTTTCTCAACCTTGGCCACTTGCAGATGTGTGGACTTTCAACTCCCAGAATTCCCCAGCCACATGGCTGGCTGGGGAATTCTGGGAGTTGAAGTCCACACATCTGCAAGTGGCCAAGGTTGAGAAACACTG